ATTTTATTTTCCTTTGTTTCGCCTGTCTGTGAAATGTAACACCGATGAGTCATTGTTTACACAGCTGGGTGACCTTGAACACAGCTGGAGTCCGATTTCCCGGGACATTCTCATAGACATCGCGGGAGGACAAGGGTTTAAAGTAGGGTGACTTCAATCTGGCGGTATATTTTTAAATATTTTAAAAAAATTATAATTTTTATTGCGATTTCCGACCCCCCCTAATTAATTAAACTTCTATATAATAAAATCTATTAATTAAAAAAATTAAAAAACTATCGGAAGTCGTTTTTGACATCAGAAAGCAGCTTTAAATAACTTTACCGAAGGAAAATCGGTGCGCTACAACTTTAGAATGATAAATTAATTTTGATAAAAAACTCCCATTAAAAAAACATTAAGCCTTCATCGAGCCTTATCAAAGGCTCATTAAAATCGCGATAAAATTTTTTCGCGTGCGCAAAAAATTCTGAAAAAATTTGGGGACCTAAAAAACATTCCAAAAATTCAAAAAAAATAATTTTTTCAAAAGTGGCCTTAACGACGTAAGGCTATAAAACTTGCTCGAGTCACACTCGAGCGCGGCTCAGAAGGGGTTAATGAAAAAATACACAATGACTAAAATAGCAAAAACTGCATAAATGAATATGAACAACTGAAAATATCTAAAAATGCATAAATGAACTAAAAATATAACAAAAAGATAGAATGATTACCTAAACATTTTTAGATATTTTTAGAGAATAATTATCAAAAAATATAAAATAAGAAATAGAAATAATATTTAAAATGTATACAAAAATGCAAAATAGGAGAATGTATGTTTTTGGTAATTTCTCTGTATGCTTCTATACTTTTCCCCAAGCATCATTTGGAGTCCAGATCTAGGAACACTTTTTAAGCTGCCAATAACAAGTTAGTCTTTGTAATTAATGGATTGTTCTATTGATATTAGTAATGGGATGATACCAAAATTTCTCCCAACTTTGATTTCAGTTTTGCTGAAAATGCCCAATTTTGATTCTTTTGAATAGTTCTAAACTTTTTTGTTTAGAAAAATTAATAATTTACATTATGAGCATGGATAATTCAAACTGTCTTAGTTTGAATCTTCTCATTAAACATGATGCAAACCTATAAAAAGAGGTCAAATGTTCATTTTAAGAAATAATTTTTTCAGCAACATTTAAACACCTTTAAAGTATTTTATCATTATAAGTAAACATACTAAATATTAAAAATGATTTTATATAATATTTTTTTCAATTAAAATGTAAGTTTGCTTATATTTTAAACTGTTGTCGACTCTTAAATATTTTTGTTGACCACTGGCCTTGATTTGAAATTTCCAGCAATTTCAAATCAAGCTGGCCCAATATAGGCTGGCTGGCAGCCTTAATGTCACCCTATCTTTTCATAAAATGGAGACAGTACTGACTGAATGCAATCTCTCATTGCTCTGACTATATGAAAGTCTGCTGTGATCCCTTGTCACCTTGTGTATGGTATGCTCTGCTTTTTCAATGTGATTGCTTCTAATAAACTAATACTTAATTGTTAATTTTTTAGATTATGATATTAATCTTTGATTGAAACAAATTCTTCCATATTTAACAAGAAAATTAATAATCATTTTAAGAATTGGAACTCGTGATGAAATTTGCTTGATTCTGATACTTGAAAAATGCCCAACTTTTCCGATTTCTGATTTTGATTAATCATCTCATCACTAATGGATAAATCTAAACTGCAGTGCTTGTTGTGACAAATATGTGACGATATTACAATGTACTTTATAAAGTTACAGTTAAAGTAAGAATTAAAATTAGTGATATTTGTAGTCAAGCTCAACAATTATCAAGTTAAATGTTGATTTTTAACTTTGTGATTTTTCTTCAGCTACCTGATAAGATTATTAGGTTCTGAATTTTCCGATGGTTTAGCTGTTCTTAATGTTGATTTAGTGAATGTCTCTTCAATCCGAAAAAATCTTTTCGGTAGACTACCTCACAGCCAGTTCAGGTTATAAACTCCTTTTATTGCCTTTTACAGATGTATTTCGAGCTAGGTTAATTTACTAGCTCCTCCTCAGTGCTTTTAAGAGTTTCCATGAATTTCTAATTTTTTTCACACTTATACGGTACTTTTTGTCCCGTTTACAATATTTTTACCAGCTTATGCAATTATTTAAAGGATTTGTATCTTGTATCGTAAAAAGGTCTGCTTGCTACTGATTTCTTTCTAATTAAATTACTTTAAGAACTTGTATCTTGTTACATCATAAAAATGTACTGTTTGTTACAAGATTTCTTTTTCATTAAAAAGCTTTGATGAAAAAGCTTTTAATGAAAAAGCTTTAATGAAACAATATGCTTTTAATGAAAAAGAAATCTTGTAACAAACAGTACATTTTTATGATGTAACAAGATACAAGTTCTTAAAGTAATTTAATTAGAAAGAAATCAGTAGCAAGCAGACCTTTTTACGATACAAGATACAAATCCTTTGAATAATTGCATAAGCTGGTAAAAATATTGTAAACGGGACAAAAAGTACCGTATAAGTATGAAAAAAATTAGAAACTCATGGAAACTCTTAAAAGCACTGAGGAGGAGCTAGTAAATTAACCTAGCTCAAAATGCATCTGTAAAAGCCAATAAAAGGAGTTTATCACCTGAACTGGCTGTGAGGTAGTCTAACGAAAAGATTTTTTCGCATTGAAGAGACATTCACTAAATCAAGATTATTAGGGTATAACACACACAAATATTTTATCATATCTTCAAAACTTGTTACAAAATTTTTCTTTTGAACAATTCAATATTGCCTTTGAACCAAATTAACTTTGATTATGGCTTCTAAAAACTTTGACACCACTGCTGTAAATAATCAACTTTCATTAAAAGATAAAATGTATTTTTGACTCTTCATTTTCTTTTAGCTACATATGTAAATTTCTTTGCTTAATTTTTGTTATGATAGTATTTATTATTATATAAATGCCAATCAAATTATGGTTTTTAGGCAAAACTTGTAATTCATTAATTTTTATTATTACTACAGAAAACAATTTGATATGCTTCTTAATCTGTTTAACTATACTGAATTATTTTAAAAAGTTATAATTAACTTTATTTCATTACAGTACAAATTTGATATAATATATCCCTTTCTAAAACAGACTTTATTTGTTTGTAGCCTCATATGGAAGCCCAATAGGTCCTCCTCTACCATATGGTGCAGTTAGTGTAAGTAGAAATTTTCATATTGTAGAAAGTTATTTGATAAAAATATTAAGATTTTTTTTTTAGTAGAAAAAGAATTGCAATATACTTAATCTGAATATTTATATATATAATAAACTTTGCTTATTAATTGAAATGTATGATTATGTTTTTCAACCTTAAATGAAGTTAATAATGTGAAAATTAATAATTTTTACCAATTTTCACAAGTACTTCTGACATTGACAGCTATCATCTTCAGATAAAAATTCATAATTGAACAGTATTGCAAATTTGGAACAGAGTGAATTTGAAATTTCAGAACAAATTTGTAATTTCAAATACACAATGACAGGTATGTTAATATTTCATATAAAAAATAAATGTATAACAAATAACTCCTGGATATATGAGAATATTTCTATACAAATACCTTTAATTAAAAAATTTATATAGTTACCCAATGACCTATGATATTAATATTGGGTTGTTGCAAGGTCTGTTGTAGGCAATGCATAATGCCTCCCAAAAGTAAAGCATTTTCTTATTATATGGATGTAGGAGCCATGTTTCTTATGGGGAGGAATAGTAAGTCTACAGTTATGATCTCAAAATGGAGGCCCAGTCATCCTAATAGAAGTTGCCTGGTTCTCCTTGGCAAAATTGTGGTAAGATTAAGACCTTGTTAACAGTGTCGTTTGACTGGGAAAGTGTTGTATGTGTATATAATAATTTCACAAAAGAAAGAATAAAAATTATATCATTCCAGTACTACATAGATCCAAAAACATTTTTAGGAGGTTTTATTATAAAGTTTACCAGAATTCAAATTAATATGCATATGCTTTAAGCAATATATTTTTAGTGACTTTTAGAATGAACAGAGACTATTCTAGTAATAAGGAAAATATGATGTAAGATAATTATAGCACACCAAGTTTAGACTATTATTTTGATCTAGACTCTAGGTGATCACCAATTCTTTCCTTTGAAATGACTGTCATTTCTTGAGTCTACGTCAAAAAATAGTCCAGACTTAGAGAAGCCCATTATAGCCCACTATGTTACATAATAGGATAGATTCTTTGAGAAGGTTTTATTTCCATACTATTTTCTTTCAAATGGCAGAGATTAATTTGGAAGTAAATCATTAATTATATTCATGTTAATGATTGTAGAAAAAAGATTATTTCTAATAATAATGGGTGTAATTTCTAGTAAAGCCACTTTGTTAAAAAGACAGTTAAGCTATTTTCACTGTAAGTTAGCCTCTGTAGTGCCAGTGCAGTGATGTTCACAAGTGCTAAAGACAGAAGTTAAGATAGCTACCACCATATATTATATGCATATTATGTACTGTACCTATCATGAAAATTTTGACATATAAAAATCTATTTTAAACTTGTTGTTGGAAAAATTATAAATGCAATTTTCCACATAATCTTCTATTCCGACATAAATACCTTCAGATTTATGAGGTTAAGTCAAAAATTATTCACACTTTTATTTTTTCAAGTTATTTACACAGATGTAGGGGTTGAACATGTCATTTTTCTATTTACAAGGGAAGATTGGGAGATTGTCATCACTGATTTCAACTAAATTTTGTGGACGTGTAGTATTTACTTGTACTTAAACTCTGCCAAAGCCATAGGACCCACTATTCAGGCATTCTCAAGAAAATCACGATTGAAGTTTTTCTATTAATACCTATGTGGAATAAAGCATGCCTTGCTGTTCACATGTTCATGGGTGGTGTCATTAGTTAAAGCATTGCTTGAAGAGCATTAATATGCAGGTTTAAATCCCGTATGAGAAATTTTTTTATTTGCATTTATAATTTAATCGTATTGTTGTTAAATTTGTTGTTGCGAGAATTCAGAGAGGGTCATTCTGAAAATTCTCAAAGTTGAGAAGAAGAAGAGAAAAATAGAGAAATTAGTGTTTTTCAACTTTAACAAGTTTCTAAAAAACTGAAAAACATCCGATTTTGAAAGGAAGTTGATTTCCTTTCCCAGGCCAACTCATGATGAGTTGAGCTTTTGCACAAGTTACTGAGGAGAAAATAAAAGGGACAATTTCCCGCCCATTGAGGCAGTCCGTTGGAACAAGGTATTCCATACAGGGAAATCTGATATATGAAAGGCAGTCCGTTGGAACAAGGTATTGCCATACAGGGAAATCCGATATATGAAATGCAGTCCGTCGAAAAGAGGGTTGCCACGCAAGAAGTCTTACATGCGAGATAAGATATTGTCATACGGAAAGTATCATCATACAAGGCTGTTATAAGAATCCGAAAGGAAGTCATAAAACATAGTACTACATTCGAAATATACAAGAAGTATACAAGAGAAGACTTAAAAGGACTTCCCAAAGAAAATATTAGAAGAGAAATAATCAAGGAAGAAGACCGTCAAATAGATATAGAAAAAGATACGAAAGACCTAAAGAAGGTAATATGACCAGAGATAGATTGTTGTGAACTCTCTCTCACGCGTTAGGTTTAGAGATAATCTTAGGTTAAGATTAACCCCTTCTTGTCCACTTTTTTAAAAAAATTTTTAATTAAACATAAAAAATACTTAAAACTGAAAAAAAGGAAAGAAATGCCTTAATTTTGGTTAAAAAGCTTCATCATTTAGTTTCCTTTGTCTTGCCTTTCTGTGAAATTTAATACCAATGAGTCATTGTTTACACATCTGGATGACCTTGAGCACAGCTGGAGTTGGATTTCCTGGGACATTCTCATAGACGTCTCGGGAGGACAAGGGTTTAAAGTAGGGTGACTAGTAACTACACCTATATTTTAAAATATTTTTAAAAAAATTATAATTTTTATTGCGATTTCTGAACCCCCTAATTAATTAAACATATATAATAAAATCTATTAATTAAAAAAATTAAAAAACTATCGGAGGTCGTTTTTGACATCTGAAAGCAGCTGTAAATAACTTTACCGAAGGAAAATCGGTGCACTACAACTTTAGAACGATGAAATAAATTTGATAAAAAAACTCCCATTAAAAAACAATTAAAAAAGCAATAAAGCATGAAGCGCGCATCATTAAAGGTTGATTAAAATCACTATAAAATTTTTTTGCGCGGGAAAAAATTTTGAAAAAATTTGGGGACCTAAAAAACATTCCAAAAATCAAAAAAAAAAATTTTTTGGGGGCCCAAACACCCGGTTTTTTTAACGCTATAAACCTTGCTCGAGTCAGACTCGAGCAAGGTTTATAGCGTTAAAAACGGGCTAAGCATGCGTGTGCAGAAGATAGTGTGACAGACCTAAAGAAGTGTTATGGCTAAAGTGCAGATAATTTTTGACTTTCCTACTATTAGTAATGGCAAATGCCCATGTTCTGTTTGTTGTTTACCATATAGGTAATTGCATAAAAATGCAATATCAAATTTTCTGGATTGGCTGCCTCTGATACTTTATGGTCTGACAATTCTGCATCATTTCTGACTAAACATTTTTTTTTGTACAAAACAATGTATATACAAAAAACTAAACAACATTGATGATTAGCTGAGGTATAGAAATGTTTCCCCAAAAGTGTAAATTGCTTAAAGTGCCCTCCAGTAGTTTAAGCAAAGCAGCTCTACTAGAAAATGCACCCAGTGTTTCATAATTATTTCAGGTGATTTAAGCCATAATACTGTTTGCTACATAGATGTACATATCTGTGAGAAACCACTATGAATCATCATTAATTATTTTCACCTTAATTCATTTATTTTGCTTTCTTGGTTACTAAGAATTAGAAAATTCACTTTTTTGTTTTTTGTCATATGATTATGATAATTCACTGTACAATAACCTTTTGGGAGTTCTTCAAGAAAATGTGCTTGCTGCTAATATTTTTATTTACAAGTTAGCTTTTAAGGAACCCAGATGTAAGAGTGAAACACTCTTGATGTCATTGTTAAACCTGTCCATTGTAACAGGCTCAGTTGTCTTCATTACAATGCAATATATGTTTGTTGATTAACATGCAAAGAGGCTTCCTACTGTTGTAAGGAAAACCTGAAAAATTTATCTTGCATCCTAATTTAACCTCCCATCACCAGCCCTCTGGATTCCCCTATAAGCATAGTTTGTTTGTGCCTGTTTTTTTTGAGGTTAAAACATTGTATCATTAAAGTTCTGCAAATACTTTCGTTTTAATGTATTAGTTTTGACTTTCCTTGCTTTATTCATTAAACTTAGTAAATTAGTCATATCCTTGCCAATTAAGATATCCCCCATCAAAAATGTCATAACTTTTGCAGATAAAATTGAATTTTTTTATCATCATTTGAGGTGTCTAACTTATATTGTAATTGTATTGCCTAACCTCACACTTTTTTAGGGAATTTACACTTTAGCATATGTTTATACCAGGTTTTTCATGAAACTTCATCTTCATCATTGAAACATTGTTGTGGTATCTAATAATAATGTTAATGTTGCAAATGTCAAAACAGTCTTATGTTTTTTGTTACTTTGTTGCTTTAATAGCAGACACATTCAGTTGAATTGCTTTCCTAGGACAATCCTTAGTGCCATGATCTGTACTAAATGCATGATCTCAGACTTTCATTTAGCATGAAATTTAAATCTTTGGTTTTGGATCTCTTATGGAAAAAATTTAACTAAGTTAAAATATGAATCTTTATTGGCAAGTTTACTTTGATCTTTGATTTATTTTGCTGCTGACATTTGGTTTTATGAAGTCTCTTGCCACTAAAGTATTTAGACATGTATTTTTTGTCCTTGATTTTATTTTCTTGATTATGATCATCATTCTACCAATTGTTGCATTGCTCTAGATATTATTTAAATTAAATTAGGTATCAGTTTATTGATATTAGTGCATTTTTATTATGTTTCACAGCTTGTCATTTTCAAAAATTGGTGAGTTTCATTCAATTATCTTTTAGACTGTTAATTCTGTCTCATCATGCACATCATTGCAATGCATTTATGTACAACTGAAAATATCCATGAATAGTTGATATTACTGATTTTTAAATTT